GTGAAGGGATGGGATACGTACAAAGCCAGCCACATTAGAAATTGACTCAGGAGCTTTAAATATGAGTCATAGTCACTTTGTAAGCTTGTATTTTAAATTACAGCTTACTGAGCCTGTGCGTGTCCCCACTACTTCTAAATTAATGACATAGCATAGCATGTTTTTATGTGTGTACCTCTTGTGAGCCCCTGTGTGATGCTGATTACGTTTAGCTAAAGGGGAGCGTATGAATCGACCTTTTTTGAGGAGGTCTTTGCCAAGGCTGAGGCATACTTGTTCTTTCCTGTTGACACCTCCGCTTCGAGGTGGAGTTTGTTTTACTGGTGCCATGTATTGCTGCTCCAAACATAAAACATTTGGAATTACTCAACCTTGCTGAAGAATAAAGTGCAATTAAGTGTTGCTTGAGGCTCACAACTAAAGACTAGGCTCAGCCCTCTAAAACAGAAATTTTTCTGCAGCTTGGGATGTATGATAGTCTGGTCTGGGGTTCCTCTGCTGTGATGTTGAATGTCTATGGTGTAGGTATTTCTGAGCCCGTCCTCCAGGCTTCCTTTGCAGGTCATGGAGAGACATGGATGTTTCCAGTGTATGACTCATCTTACTTATTTTAGACGTCTACTCTATAGTGAGATGAATCATTCCCTTAAAGAGCCTCCCTGCCTCGTCTGTCCTGTCAAATAACTTAGCTCCCCAGCCCACTGTGGGAGCTTGGTCCCTGGTTATCCACACTGCAGGAATGTTTCTTCACTCCTGGCTCTCCCTTGGAGTCAACCAGCTAATTGCCTCTGAAACTAAATGTGGGCGTTCACGAGGGATCGTTTGCCGCCAGAGCTGCTCCATGTCGTCAGCAAGAGGAGCAGCGTGCTGGGTTTGGCTGCCTCCACCCTCAGCAGCCCTCCCACTCATCTCAGCAGGCTTTGCATTTGTTGCATGTCCCTCATGAGGCGTGCTGGCATGTCCCGTCAAGCCAGTACTTAGGTGGGCTGCAACATGCTGCTTTTACAATTTAAGGTACTTTTGAATTGGGGGGAAAAAACAAAACAACAAGACCCCTACAAAGTAATATGCTTAAGGCCACAGGTGCTCCAGAGGAAGCCAGAATAAAATTATGTCCAAGCCCTGTAAATCAAATCTAGGGACAATCTACTCTCACAAGGGTAAGCCTTCAGGAATGCAATCTGGTAAATATACGTTTGCCTTGTAATGTGTGAAATTTTGCAGTTTGAATCCCATCCATTGCATTTTAAACTGATAAAACCCCTGCAAAATTTCACCCATGAGTGAGCTCTGTTCCACTGTACCCTTCCACAAGGGGTGAGTGTGGTGATAGACAGAGTACAGCCAGATCAGTTGGGATTGAAGATGTGTATATCATTTGTTTCTATGGCTAGCAAATATTTATGGTTATTGATAGAGTTTATTGCCACAAGTGCAATTTGGTCCTGCCTCAAATGTAGAAAATTATTGTTGCACAGTTTAATCAAAGGACTTTATATTTTGTCTTTGATTAAGACATCTGTGTATGTATTGACAAGTCTTTTGTTTCTTCGTTGGAAGCAGCAGACTGCTTGACAGGGCAATGGGATTCCCAAATTTTTGTTTATAAACATGGCTAATATATTTCTGTGTTTTAATAGGCTGCTAAAAAGGAAGGAGACTGAAAGGAGAGAAGAAACAGTCACTGAGTTAAAAAAGGAGGAAGTACAGAGGACTTACTAATTTCCTTTCAAATGTGAACAGAAGGGAAGGGCAGGGTTGGGCTGTTTGAATTGCTGCACTGAAACTAGGATTGGCCTGGAAATAATTTAATTATTTATGTGTTCAGGTTTACTCTAGGAAAGCCAGAAATTTTGGAAACCTACAATTTTACACCTGGTGGCTTGTGAGCCTTTTGCACATGTTGATTTAAACTTAATATTATGATTTCAGATTTTTAGGACAAATGATATCATATGTATACTACAGATTATTAAGGGGTTATCAGATGACTATTATAGATGGTTGATGGGGGGGAAAAATCTAGAAAGAAGTGGTCTCCAGAGGAAAGTCACTGTGGATTACTGTCAGATTGGTCTGAAGGAAATGAATTCTAGAATCATGGAATAATTTGGTTGGAAAAGACCTTTAAGATCATAGAGTCCAACCATACCTGTCCACTACTAAACCATGTCTCTAAGCACCTCATCTACCTGACATCTTCCACTAGACCAGGTTGCTCAAAGCACCATCCACCCTGGCCTTGAACACTTCCAGGGATGGGGCATCCACAGCTTCTCTGCGCAGCCTGTTCCAGTGCCTCATCACCCTCATAGGGAAGAATTTCTTCTAAATCTAATCTAAATCTACCCTCTTTCAGTTTAAAGCCATTACCCCTTGTCCTATCACTACATGCCCTTGTAAAAAGTCCCTCTCCAGCTTTCTTGTAGGTCCCCTTCAGGTACTGCAAGGCTGCTATAAGGTCTCCCCACAGCTTTCACCAGGCTGAACAACCCCAACTCTCTCAGCTTGTCTCCATGGGAGAAGCGCTCCATCTCTCTGACCATCTTCTTGGCCCTCCTCTGGACCTGCTCCAACAGGTCCATGTCCTTCTTGTGTTAGGGGCTCCAGAGCCGACTGCAGTCAGTCCTTATCCTTAAGTGTGAAGTACCTGGAAAAAAAACATCAGACCTTCAAATGCATCCTAACTTTCCTAACAAAGCAATGGTGTTGCCTTAAGATTTTTTTGCTCTGTGGTTGTCTCATGTGGTGAAAATTTAGACATCACTCTGGATAACAGTTTCTGGGTATCCATTACCCTTCTGGGGTAGCTGAAGCCAGTGTCTGACCACTGCCTGTGATAAAGTCTTGCTGAAGACTGATTTTTCCTACAGTGCTAATTTTGGGTTACGTGTCTATAAGTGAAACAATGTAAATAGAGGGATACTTCAAGATATTCAGTGTGATTTTTTTTTTTTTAAGTGGCATTGTAACTTTCTAGGTACTGTCATGTCTTTATATTGTGGAATAAGGATATATTGGTGTTTGGGAAACACAGTCACAGTGTCTTGTTGGATGAGTCCTTACCGTAGGGAGATAGTACACTGATGGCAATAGCCAGAGATACAGAACGTCTGAATCGGTTTTATGGCTCCTTCTGGGCAGCCTTGGGGAGGTCTGCCTGAATTTCATATCCAAAGCTGCATAATATGGACCGTAATACCTCCTCTGCTCCTCTCGTCTGCTTGCTGTAGAAGCCCCCTGTGAAAGGAGCTGCTCCTCAGCCTGTTTTGTACAGCAGACACAGGGACCTGCTCTTGGTTATTTACTCTGGAGGTTTCTGTGATACAAGTGAGAAAATCCAAATCATGATGCCGCAGTCAGGTTTGCTTTGAGTAAATAAAATTGCAAAGTCTGGAGGAGGAAAACTCCTCAAAATAAGGAACATGTGTTAATCAGGAATAAACCTCTTTTTCACAAAGCAGTTGGTTCAAAGGGACCTGATGCATTTTATCTGCAGAGTTTATTTGAGAAGGCTTACATGGAAACACTATGGAACAGGCTGAAAATTATCTGAAAAACTATAAACAAAGGCTACGGATGTACATAGGGTGTGGCTCCTTCAGGAGGATATTTTCTGAGTCCTGAACAGACCCGTACCGCATCACCGATGTCAGTGAGTAACCCACTGGGAGGGTGTACCTGGTCTGAGAGATGTACTGGTTTTTTGACCCGGTTCATTGTCTGGGAATCCTATTGCAAAGCAGCTATTGAAAGTGCCCTGTAGGGGTGTTTAGTTGGTGTTAGGAACAGACCTCTCTAATGTATTCGTTAGTGAATGGAAATGGGCTGCTGCTTAGTAAGGAGCCAGGGACCGAGTGTGGAGTTTGAGAAGCTATTCAAAAGCATTGCTGTCAAACAGGAGCTCAGGTCTGATCTCTGTCACAAAAGAAGCATTTGTGTAGCACTCCTAACTTTAAATAACTATATAAAAGGTTGATCTCTTTCTTTTTCCTTTTTTCTTTCTTTTTTTTTTTTTTTTTTTAAGTGAAACTGCATTATTAAGTCTCTTTGGTATTGCACTCTGCTTAAAAAGAACCTCATTCCGTGGTTAATTACAGGGATTTTTTTTTTTTTTTCTTTTTCTTCCCTGTCAACTCTGTGCAGAGGGAATTCTTGCTGAATGGTGCCACAATGGCCACCCTGCAATTCCCCTACTTAATGAGCTACTTCTCACACAAATAGATTTCAGAATAACTGGGCATGGTGTTTAGGTGTCTGGGTTTCTTCCCCCCCCCCGCCCCGAAAATGATTGTCAGTCTTCATTTTCATTGCAGCTTTCAAGCCTGTTGAAACGGCAGCCATCCCGTCCCTGCAAACGTTATTCAGCCC